AATAATAATAATAAAAAATACAATATTAAATGTAAGAATAAAAATAATTATTCTTACATTAAATATTGTATTTTTTATTATTATTATTACTACTACATTAAAGATTGTATTTTTTTATTATTTCCATTTTAATTATTTTAATTATTATTGTTCCATTAAAGAATGTATTTATTATTATTAAGCACCTTTGGATTAACATGAGAAAGAATCCTTTTTTCTGAATGTATTGAAACATTTAAATCATTTAATTTTTTTTATTCGTTTTTTGGAAAAAAAAATTAAATACGTTAAAATCGCATTTTTAAGCCCATTTCAGTTGCTGGGATTAAAGAATGTATCAAACTGTTTTTTTTTTTTATTTTTTTTAATTATTTTATTTGTGTTGAAGTTGGTTTCATGTTTTAATTTTTTTTATCTTATTGTTGAGAAATCGTTCACACGTTTCCATTAATATTTATTTTCACTTTATTCATGATTCTTTTTATTATGAATTTTAATATATGGTCTTAAACAGGAAAAGGGATAATTAAAATTCATTCACGTCCCCATTTTTTATTATGATTTTTTTTTAAACCAGTAACTTTTTTTATTTTTTTCTGTATGTATTTATTTATTAAGTTCTATTAACTATTTATCAATATTTGTTTAACTACAAGTATATATTTCAAGTGCATTAAACTGTGTTTTTTTTTTATTTTTTTTAATTTATATTCTGAATATATTTGTGTCTGTGGTGAGGAAAGGGGAAGTTAGAAATAATTTTGGGGAGTTATTATTTTTCTCATATTCTCATGTTTCTGGAGGAAGAATATATAAAGCGCACCGCGAAGGGCCAAAAATAAATATACAAATGTGGAAGAATGTCGTGCCGAGATAAGGAATACAATAAAGTTTTACAGATATAACCCGGAAAAAAAAATGTCTCTGTGTTTTATTGGTCGCCTAAAATCCCCCCATTACTGAATGTCCCGCCTCCGATCCTGACCACCCAATCCCCCATTACTGAATGTCCCGCCTCCAATCCTGACCACCAAACCCCCCATTACTGAATTTCCCGCCTCCGATCCTGACCACCAATCCCCCATTACTGAATGTCCCGCCTATGATCCCAAACACCTAATCCCCCCATTACTGAATGTCCCGCCTCTGATACTGACCACCAAATCCCCCATTACTGAATGTCCCGCCTCCGATCCCGACCACCAATCCCCCATTACTGAAAGTCCCGCCTCCGATCCCGACCACCTAATCCCCCATTACTGAATGCCCCACCTCCATTCCTGACCACCAAATCCCCCATTACTGAATGTTCCACCTCCGACCTGGACCACCAATCCCCCATTACTGAATGTCCCGCCTCCGATCCTGACCACCAAACCCCCCATTACTGAATGTCCCGCCTCCGATCCTGACCACCAGATCCCCCATTACTGAATGTCCCGCCTCCGATCC